AGGCCATATTTATAGAACTAGCTTATAACCCGGCCCGTTGGCCGGAATGTTCATATTTAATTATTTATAATTTTATGTTAAGTTTAAGTTTATCAATCTATTTAATTTTCTTTTTTACAATCTTTCGATCGAGATGATACATAAAGAAATAATATATAGGTTGAACACTCGAAGAAATACCATCATCTTTTAAGAATATAAAATATAAAAATATATCATTGATTTCATTTTCATTTTCATAATGATAATATTATATTGGTTAGTTGATTGTCAAGAAAGATAGAATATAAAAGCTCACTGGAATTACCACACGACCCATATATAGTTTGAAACTGAATCTAAAACCTCACAATCCTACATAAAGGCTTCAATGCTCTCCTTTTAGGAACAACATGCCACTAATAAAAAAGAAAATGAGAGTTGTTGGTTCAAGTCAATTATATACTACAAACTAAGCTAAGAGGGAACCATCAAAATTTGAGAGCAAACGACAAAATTAGGGTTATCTCCAATATACTAATAGACTTGATCAAAGTCATAAGACACAAAATTAGACACTCCTTTTCTATTAGTTTTAGTAGGTTGAATAAAGAATTGACCTAATTCAGTAAATCAATCAATGATTTCTCGTTTAAGATAGAAATAGGTTGTGGTAGCTGCAAAAACCATAAACCTAAAGAGCCAATAGCCACCACTCTCCGTTGAACGACCAAAATTTTATCCACTCTATCTTTAATCTCAAGAGGCATATGTTTCAACCAAACAACTTCATTTCCTCGGGACACTTGTAATAAGTTCGCTAAACCAACACTCATCTCCAATTCCATCAATATGTTCATCTCCCCCTTGTCTGCCTTCACCTGCTTCAGTCCACTTCCATGCCCTTCAATAACCTCCCCATTTTCATTATTATCCTCATCATCTCCCACTTCTATCTCTTTAACTGCTCCAATTTCCCTTCTATGTGTTTCAACACCCACCTCAATTCATTCACTACCCTCTCCAACTCCCTCTTCTCTGCATTCACCTGCTGCAATGGAACTTTACCTGTTACCAAATCCAAACACAACTTCTTCCCCCACCATTTCCATTCTCAAACTCAATTCCAACTCTTCTACTCCAAGTTTAAATTCATAACTACTTGATTGAACTCCATTATATTCGCCATGGATTGATATCGAATTTGAAATTTTCTATTTGCCTAGCTTAAATCCCAAAAATAAATATGTCGTACCAAGAGAAACAGGAAGATTAATTTTCAAATGCGTCCTTGTACTGGGAAGTGAAAGGGCCAAATTATTGCACGATGAAGGGACTTTCGGATGAAGTTATAAAGAGATAAGAACAAAGATAAAAAAAGCACAAAATTTAAATTGAAAAATGCAATGACACAACACGTAGAAGAAATAATTTCTTCCATGTTAGCCAAATTCACCTAAGCAAAAATTAAAGAGAGCATGAATTTTAAAATGGATAAAATTACATGAAACTCTACTATGGAAATTGAAGTATTAAGCACCATAAAAATATATATGGTAGACTTAGTGGGCTTGTTGATCATGATGTAAAAGTCATCAACTTTCCAGAGTTTAACTTAGTGTATGTTTTGTATCAAATAGAAACAACAAATTCGTTTAGTGTAGTTGGTTATGATTGTTGTCTTTGTTTGAAGAGAACCCAGGTTCAAATCTTGATATTGATATTTTTATTTGAAATAAATAATTAATTGTAAAGACAAAAATGTCCTTCCTACTTTCACTCTCGTTACAGGAAATTTAAAATGGAGAAAATTACACAAAACTCTACCATATATTAATGGAGGATTATGAGATTACGGACAAGTTCGCAATCGTGAACTAATGTGGCGTGGCCGCGATCTCGAGTCAACATTTACGTGTTGAAAACTTGGAAATTCGCGGCCTAACATTTAGATCGTGATCCTGGATGTCATGGTCGCGATCTTCCTCGCGGGCTCAGAAGAAGGAGACTGTGAGTTGACTGTTGAAACCTTCTGCTTCTCTCTCGTTGGTTGCGTCTCCAAGTTCGCGCTCATTGCTCCAGAGATCTCGGTCACGATCTTGAGGGTGGAAGTCGCGATTTTGGTACTCTACTTTGCTGACCTTTTCCTGATCGTGATCTTCACGTCCTCGACCGTGATCTCTCATTCTTGCTACACTTGTGCCCTTTTTCGTACCTAACTCGTACATATCATCTAATACACCCTAATACAATGATATATTCTTCGAGGAGCAAAATTTGGGTATATTTGACGATGTATCAATCAATATGCACATGAAATGACTCAAAATGAACCTAGATATGAGTGATAAATAACACCAATTTAGGTGTTATCAGGAGTCCTACTCGATCAAAAGTCATTCAATCTATACAGTGTGACGCCTCTACAGCGAAATCCGAAGGTTTCTTGTCGCTCATTAGTTTGGGTAAATGCTTCGACACAAGGTGGGATCTAACAAAGCAAGAAATTGACGGCTTATATCTCACTGATCTTCGAGGGACGCATGGTTAGGAGACCTAGTGGGAGCTTGCCTATGCAACGACTTCCTTCTCTGATCTCTCGCTCGTCCAACATAGCTTAGATTTACTTTTCTGCACCACTTTACTCTTTGAACTCTTACGCTTTGAAAAACTGAAGGAACATTAACCTTCTAAACTCGATCTCTTCTTCAACAGAACCATACCTCGCTTTCGAAGTAAGGGTTCTACGAGAGACCCTAGGAAAATATTATCCTGGCCTCAGGACAGGTAAAGTTGGCCCGCACTACAATCGACGATCAAGATGCTACCCCTGGCGACTAACCCTACAGATGCTCGCCAATTTCAGGAGTGCCCTGATAGGCAGGTTTGATTTTGTTTTACTTACTAGTTCTTATGGTTGTGTGAAATGGTCTCATTTTTTTCACATCGTAGAAGCCCCTAACAAGTTATCGTGGAGGATCCTTATCTGGGAGGTTGTCTCTTAGCAACACAAAGTAGCGAATCATACTTTATCACTAAGGAGGTCATGGTTGCGTCGACACGTGGTCGTGGGGTAGAGACTGGTAGGGTCGCTTGTTAGGGACCTCTACGATGAACCTTTGAGAATGTTCCATTACCCATGCAAAGTTTTGAGGGCCCTCAAAAGCCTCAAGCTAGTGTGGGATTTAGGATTTCATGAAGTGAAGCTGCAAGTTGACTGCAAGATGATGGTATTTCTTCTAAGAAAGTGTTTCAACGATCACCAGCACGCCAACCTCACCTTGGCGTTCTTGAGCTGTTATGACGTGATTGGATGGTTCGGCTCACTCATGTTTACCGTGAAGTCAACTTGTTGGATGATTAGTTAGCTCAAAAGGGGTTCTATAACCCTAGGCACCCATGTTATAAGCACTTATAATTTCTATGTTTGTTGTTCGGTACTTTTTGACTATGTAGGTGATTTTAGTGTCTGTTCGATTATTGAATAAGTAATGGTACTTTTCACTAATTTCATAAATAAAAATCCCCTTTTGTTTTAAAGGTCAAGGTTGTTAGTCCGATTTAGCCCGTTAGCCCGATCGAACAAGTAAGTTGAGGATTAATAGTCTGACTGCTTTAGCTTGGATATATGAAAAAGTCATTATGTTGTTCTTACATTTGTAAATCATATCATTGGGAAAAACAAGTTCTATTCTATCAGTTGTTATCATCGAACATATTAGTAATGACATTACACTAATAAGTAATAACAAGTCGTACTTGAATCCAACATATAGTAAAAATTCGCACACGCTTGTATAACATTAATATAGATATGTTCAACTTAGAATTTCAAAAATAGGTTCAGGCTAAGAGGAAAATCGGAAAAAAGGTCCATTTCACAAACCAAATGAAAAAACGACGATGTGTGACCTCCAATGTCACCAATCAAAATGGAACAGAACGACACCCAACATGAAGTTTGGCTCTTTTGTGTAAAAATTAATGGCAAAGGGCAACTAATAAGTACACCCACGCGGATGCCGTGAGCTTGAGGGAGTGCGGTGCGGTGGTGTTTAAATAAAACCCCAACAGTTCTTTTATAAAGAGGAGAAGAAGAAATGTCAGCTTTGATTAAAATGGTCTTCTTGCTAAATGATCTAAGCAGAAACGTGAGTTCTTCATCCGAAATCTTTTCCTTTTTCCGGGACTGCATTTGTTTCCATTGGGGACGAGGAGGCAGGGCGATATCGTAACTTCACTAGCTTGATTCGGACGGTTTTCAAATCTGATGAGTGATGATAGGCCCCACTAAAAAGTTTCGGTGCTTTTGAAAAAGTCACACTCATCTCATGCAGCCCCAACGGTCTTCTACTTCAAAATAATAAATTATTGATTTTCGATTCACGATATCTCACTCGTTTTATTTCGTGTTTCATAAAAAAAATTTTGCAAAAATAAATTTTTGTGCTATACAAGATTATATATTATAGTATTTTTGGAGCAAAACTTTTTCATGGCATCTTAGTAATAATATTGTTAATCATGATATGACGCTGGTGAAGTAGTGCTATTAGTTTTACGTAAGATAAGATCATTATGTGACAATAGTGAGATATTGTTATAAAGTATTATTATACACAAACATACATGTATGTTTTAAATGACTCATAACGTATTGTCTTCGCTAGTACTAATACTCGAAATCATTACACGAACTTAGTATCACTACGAAAAAACACATATACCAGATCAAATGGATTGCCATGCCATGGTAACATTGGGATTGTAATTGGAATTTTTCATCTGATAGTTTTTATGTTTTTTTGGGGGTTTTTTAGCTCTTGGCCACTTGTGATTGAGGGAACAACAGACCATGTGACCGATGGGCCAGAGATATGAAAGCATGCCCACAAAGGCAAATCGTGAATTAGCTATCACGAAAAAGTTAAGACTTGGAAAGCCAATATATATAATGAGAACACGTTTCCTTGGCTAATACTACAATAAGCGGCATCTGAGTGAGCCTTTTGTTTTTAGTTCATTCTTATTTTCCTTTATATGGAAGAGAAGAAGAGTGAGTGTAACTAAAAATACACAGATATCAATTCTCCATCCAATTAATCTAACGTTAATGAGTTCGGAGTCGCAGATGATTTTATCCAATTATTTTTGTTTCTATAGTTTTGCGCGGGTTTACGCAGTTTAACACATCAGGAAAAAGAATGAGGAAAGGATAAGACGGAAGAACGAGAAGCCGGCCAAGCAGTTGCTCTAAAAAGGCGAGCTGCAGGAGTGGACAGTTCATAGAGGTAGTTAAAGACTCCATCTTCTGGTGGTTACTCTTCGGTGAAGTAAGAGGATGTAGGAAAGGAAGAGATAAGAGGAAGCGGTTAGGTGGCTAAGAAAGTCATCAGAAAGTTCGAAATACCCTTACAATTCAGCAACAGAAGACGCGGTGTTGACTTAATAGACCTCGATAGAGGGACATGGCTTCTCCGGTGTGTCAACCATTAATTAGTCGAAGTAGAGAATTAGCCATGAACCTAAGTGAAAAATGAAAGTTTGGAAGTGACAACTTCATCTTCGATAGTGACGAAGGAAATGAGATCACCGACGAGACAACAGACAGAGGGTTGGAAAGCAAATGACAGCAGGTGGGTTTTGAGACAAGGTAGGTCGGGTCGGCCAGTGAAGTTGACACTGAACCATCAGGGACAAATCGGTCGAAAACAAAGAAAAAAGAAAGGCAATTTTATCCTCATCAAAAGCAAAAAAAAAAAAAAAAAAAAAAAAAAGGCAAAACTCAAAAGAAACAACTATAATAGCATTATATATTTGCGAGTGCCAATCAGTGAGCCCCATCCTTGCTGTGTTTGCTTCTACTCTTCACGACATCCATATCAATGTTCTCGCTCTCCATATCCTTCTCTTCACTTCGTGTTGTGATTGCGATCACAGTCATCAGGAGCATTAGTTTAACACATGGAATCCTCAGCTTCATCATTGCCACCCTGCAATCAAGAATATTAGGGAGGAGTAGTACTGCTACCATCTATGTTTAAAATTCTCTTTAATCACGAGGGTTTGATTTGGTTTCATCATTAGGATCTGATTACACGCGCCATGATTGTATCATTGAATTGCCACACAGTCATTTTCTAGACACCTATTGCTAGCTTAATATGATGCTCCTACAAACTTCTCTTCTTCATGCATCATTCATCTCTTCAGGAAATGACAAGGTTACGGAGGGAAGTTAATTTACCTTATATAGTTTGTTTTCTCATCAGGATCAAAAGGTTAAAGACTTCCTGTAGAGGTTATGGTCCTCACTCTGTGGATATGTCTGCCAGTGTCCCCTTGTACCTCTGCATGTTTGCTGGTATAACTTAGAGACGGAGTTTTACTTTACTTGGCTCGGCAAGTCGATCTGCATGAGGGATTAGAATGCTATCTCTTGAAGGACCTCGAGTGTCTTTTGGTGAACCTGGATTTATGAAGACAACATATAACTTAGAAATTGAAGCATAATTTGGTTTTATGATTGCAGATGTTGGGGTGTATTAATAGGAAGGGTTATTGATATGAAATACACATGATATGTTCCACCTAAATTTCCTCCAAAGTATGGGGGAAGAGCACTCTACAGACAAGCACACGTGTACAAGTCATACTAGGGGGGAAAGGGAAAGGGAAAGTTACCCATTCTAGATGTTGGGCTGTAATACCAGAGACATTCCCGGAGTATAGACCACCAAGTACCTAACAAGTCACAGAAACAAAGATAAAATGGACGTCACATTAAGGGACCCAAATTGGTTGAAGATGGTCTCTACAGGACCAGCAAGTCTTAATCATATATCAATCCGAACATGTTTAAATTGGCGGGCACAGAAAAGATTGCTATTTGCCATTAAAAAAAAGAGACTCAAGTCTCCAAATCAATTGATTCTGACAGGGAATCGAAACCTATCAGCATCCCTAGTTCAGGTTACTATAAGGGGTTTGGTCATAATGCCAACAGTAACCAACCAAGCGAGAGTACCTTGGTTACGGTCTCGAGAAAGATACCAGGGCGAACTGGAAGTGGCTTTCGGCCAGTGACACTTCCCTGCGTATTAACAAGGAGTAACATGAACCTGAAGTGCTATGTTGTGAATCGAACCAAAATCTCCTTTATAACTCCTATATGTAAGTTCTAACTCACCCTTCCAGCAATTCCCTTTAGATTCCTTTGATCGCTGCTGTCTCGATCCCCAGTGGTGTCATCAGCACCTTCATCCTTGCCTTCCATCACATTCTTTATCATTTCTCGGAGAGTTTTCCCAGGTTTTAGGGCGACGATTTTGGTTAAGAAGTTCACCTGCAACATGAACAAGAACCCCATTTCATTGCCAATCAATGATTTTGAACAAGAAAGAATTGTTGAAAATCACATCTTGATCCGTTCCAGTGAATCTAACAACAAGTATACTGTATAATCAGGTGGGTACTTCTGATTCAGGAAGGGTGGTAAAACCACGGTCATTTCTTTCATCCAGTATTCCACCTCCCATCATGTCCCTGGCTTCCTCTCTGATCAACACTAGCCTTACAAGTAGTTTGCGATCAGGTATTACTGGTCGAGTTTCCATTGTCTAAAACAACAAAGGAAAGAAAATTATTAGACTTCACATTGTCTCAATTACGTGGAAACTAAAAAAATCGTATTAACCACCAGATAGGCAGATATGAGAAAATGAATGACATTCAAGACTCATAAAGGACAACAGAGCAAAAATAAAAGTTTAGAATTTTCACCTGTTATATGAAATGCTTGCCACTTTTCTAACTCTTTCAATGTTCAACCAACTCATAAAGCAGTTTTCAATTGAATGGATTTCTTGACATTAACAAGTATAGTTCTCATATTATAGCCTCAAGCAAAAATAAAATCAAAGGAAAGCAGCAGCATCCGGCACTCAAAAGACTCCACATGAGGAACTAGATATTATTACCTCAAGCAAATCATCCGCTTGGTTAGCTATATCATTTAAATTTGCTCCGGGGATATGAACTTTAGTGCCACCTTTTCCTCCAAAGGCACCCCCACCAGCAGCCACTCTACGTAGCAGCTCATGCCTGCTGTCCTTTCCCGGGGTTCTACAAAGCAAACCAATTACTTGAACCTGCAATGAGCTTAAGGATTCAGTTCCAAGCGCTCATGGGTTATAACAAAAACAATGTGAAAACTGGACCAAGTGTAATTGTGCCATTATTTAGGAGAATAACGCTCACATGAGGAGGGCATTTCTTGGTCAAATGTGCCAATACTGTTTCCTTGATAACTTCCAGCAGTTCCTTTCGCTGCAAACAGCCCCATATACTAGACAGTCAAAAATCAAAATTCCACTTCTAAATCTCACCAAGCCAGAATCCGAAGAACACAGTCAACTTGGAATCCAGCCATGTTGATAAGATAAGATAAACTCAGACGACTTGAGGTTTGCAGTTACGGAGACAAAAATTCAGCACCAATGCGACCAAACCCATGAGATAAGAAGGAAAATGTATATAAAATATCAGAATAAAAGGAAATTGAAGTAACCCTACTAGGATGATTTGATCCTGTTCTTAGACCTAACAAAGCAAAGTGACCTATCAGTTCAAATAACCCGCAAAGAAAGTGTGCTGAAGACTTAGAGCTCCACCACAGAAAAAAACAGAATGCTTGAAATCTATCAACAGCAGCATAAATTACCTTATCGTCTTGGTCTTTACCAGCAATGTCAATCATATAATCAAGGGCCATCATAAACCCAGATTCCATCTCATCAACTCTTTTCCCTATCACCCCCTGTGCTGCTATTTCAACCGCCACTTTCTCAGACGCTTCATCCATGTTCATGTCTTCCAGCTGCAGAATTTTACAGGTACAGCGTAATCAATAAACTCTTATCAAATGCGGGAATCCTGAATCACGAAAAGGGGATGATTCCGAACTTCAGTTTGAACATGCAGGAGAGTCTCAGTTCAACCAGCCCAACTCTCTACCTAAACCTCCAATGACCCATTTTCGAAGTAAGTAGGAGAGCAAGAAGGAACTTACAAGGGTGATCATCTCCTCGAGGACGGAAGTGACCTGCTCACCGCCCCTCAGGAGAGCTTCGTAACCAGAGTTATCGGGCTTGTCATTCCACTCTTCTTTTGTCCTGGTTTTAGTGCTTGGTATCCCTAATTCCTGCTCCAAATACCTCTCTGCCTCCTCTTTCCCAGCGCACTGAGCCACCAGCAGCGGCTGCTGACTTTTCTTGCGTTGTTTCAGCTGGCAGCGGTGATGGTGGAAGGGTGGAGAAGAAGGGAAGAAACAGGGAAGGGGAGATTGACATTGGAGAGGTATGACTGGGTTGAAAAAAGCTGCGCCACTTGAGGAGGACTGGAATCCGATTGCTTCCGGCAACATTTTCGGGGCGAGGTTTGGGGTTTTTGGAGAGGGAGCCAGAGATGGAGAATCGACTCTGGATAATCATCATTTCAGAAAGAAAGAAAAAAAAATGAGATGAAAATGATACAGATTTTTATAGCGCCGTCTGTGGGAATCGAACCCACGACCACGTGGTTAAAAGCCACGCGCTCTACCAGCTGAGCTAAGACGGCTTGGTGCGTTTATTTCATTGCTTATTTTTATTTAAACGTAACCTTATGTCTAGTTGTGAACTTGGATTAGCAATTAGAAAGACACTGTGAAAGCGAAAGGAAGACAAGTCAAAATATCCTCACCATCCAAACAAATTTTGGTATGGATACTGAAAAAATCCTATTAAAAAAATAAATAAATATCATCATTCTATATTTTTGCTTCAAAAATAAAATTAAAAATTATAATTTTAGCTTCTTATGAGCAACTGAGCCATAACCAGAGAGTGAGGCCCCATGTCAAGAATAGCGTGACTGGTGGAACTTTCCTTTCCAGTTTACCTATTGTTCTCCATGAAATATCAAACATGTCACTTTGCTAGCCTATTCAGACCTCACACTTGAATTGAATTCCAGACGGCGACAAGCAAAAGAAAAGATTTCCACTTTCTACTGTTGGATGGTTTGAACATTATGGTAGTTAGCCTTCTTGTACTTCTGACCCAATTAAAACGGATATTATCAATTCAACGAAGGGAAACAAAAAGGAGAAAAGATTGTGCTTTTCTTTTAAAATAGTCCCTTGCCTTTAAACTCTTTTCTGTTCTTTTATAAGTAAACACTCTAACACGACCAAATATTAGTTTTACTAAAATAATAATCTTAATAAATATGGAACATTTAATACACGATAGAAAATCATAACCGTTCATGGTTTAGAAGACATGAAAAATCAACATGGCTTGAAATAGTTGACATAACATTCTTAAATACTTTACATCAATCTCAGGTCCACTAACGATGCTCAAACTCTCACAACATTCTTAAATACATCGAGCTGCTAATCCTCACGATGAGCTATTCGATCTCATAGTATATTCTTGTGGCTGCTACAAGCCCTGAGTGTACATGTGAATCAGTCTTATTTTGAAAGAAAATGGACAATCTTTCAAAATTATTAACATATACATAACAAAAGACATGCATATTCAAAGCTCTGTTATGTTATTGGTGGGTATGTTATTAAGGGAGTGGATTATTAGGAATATTATTGATTTAGTTCTTAATGCATTGTATCTCTTATTACTTAACTTGATATAGGGTCTCGCCATCGACTTAACCAGCGCAGCCATCTAACACTAACGTATAATGAAAATAACCTCCTTATCTACAGAAAGTAGTGGTGAGCACGTCCGACACTAATCGTGACATAACATATTATGGGGTTTCCTCGCTATGGAAAACACTATACATAGTGATATGTAAGAAATCATTGAGTACCTCACACATATCATAATGCATCATCTGCAAGGTCCGCCTCATCTAAAAGGAGTAAGGTGATCATGTGCGGTTAGTTAAGGGAGGGTACTTATTCTTACTTATTAACTTGATATCTTATAGTTGTTTGGTTAACTTAATCTTTCACACCATGTAGAGATATATTTAACTCCATAACTTGCTTATTTACAACTTGAAATTTTGACCTTACATGAGGTGATCTCCCACAAAATGGAAAGATCTAAACTTGTAACTTGCTTAACTTAGTAGGTTGATTTGCTTAAAATATAACTATGTGCTTGCTTTAAACAGTAGATTACTGATTCTTCATAATGTAATGCATACTTAAAGTAAGGGTTGAGTGTTAATAACTTAACATGGATGCAAATAAAAAAACAACCGAAGATCGAAAATGAATAACATGAGCTTAAAAGTAAAATTAGATAGTGTTTGGAGATGGACAACTATACGCTCTGATAAATCTATGAAAAAAACCGTTATTTTAGATTTAATCATTTGAATTAAACTAGTCTTAAGCAGGGACGAAGCTAGGATTTTAGGTTCGGGGGCCGAATGATTTAATGAAATGTCATTAAAAAGCAACAAAAAAAAAGAGCAACGTATATTAATGAAAATAATGATGATATTCTCATAACAAGGTAAGATTTTATTTGAAAAAAATAAAAATAATTTATAATAGAATTTATTCTATATATAGTTTTATGTTCATAACAATAAGAAAATTTAACTATGCAAGTCGATGGATACCATATTATTCAATATATTTTTAATAGAAAAATGACTTACCGTTTGTATTAGTGTTTCAAAAGAATTAACTAATTGATTATATAGCAACGTATTCTTAAATTACCAATTCAAGAGTACAAGCACTTAATTAACTTAATTTGAAAGTATAGGATTTATCAAGCAAATATATGAAATTTAAAGGGTTAGATTTACCATTTGGTTACAAGAAAGCTTTATATCAGTGTTTCAAAAGAATTAACTAATTGATTATATAGCAAAAAATTCTTAAATTACCAATTCAAGAGTACAAGTACTTAATTAACTTAATTTGAAAATATAGGATTTATCAAGCAAATATATGATACTTAAAGGATTAGATTTACCATTTGGTTACAAGAAAGCTTTAAAAAGCTGTAAAAATAAGGTGTTTGCTGGATTCAAACCTTGACCAAAGAGTGACAAGGCAATTTTATACGTAATTCTCCAAATTTTGTAACAATTTACATCTAAGTTTCAAAATTCGGGGGGGGGGGGGGGGGGGGGGGGGGGGGGGGGGGGAGGAGGAGGGGGGGGTGGCGAAGCCCTACATAGATCCGTCCCTGGTCTTAAGTCGACCACTTGTCACTTTCGCTTCCAAGCCCCACACGTGTTTGTTACCCATTTTTGAACCCGCACTCATCAATTCCACATTCCAGATTCCTTAAGTACATGATACTTCCTCTTAGGAGTGCGAATACAATTGAGGTTACGTGTCTAAATTACTAACTGGACCAAAACTATGCAATTTGCGGTTAACCGCAAATAGAATAAAAAGGGGTTGCTAGTTAGTGATATAGGTTGTTTTGCGGTTAGCGGTTTAACCGCAACCGAATAAGTGATAACTATTTAACTAACCGAATAAGTGTCCATTTCCTCTCTTCACAACAGATGTCACTCGGACATTTGAAGACACTGACTGCTTCACCGCTTACAAACAAAGAAAGATCAGTGATACTGCATTGGTACGATGTAGAGTTTCCTCGAAGCAAGCTCATGAATCTTGCCTGGTAGAAAGACTCGGTCATCTCCGAATTGCCACCATGATGATTCCCGAGGGCCACCAAGAATCATTGTATCTCGGAGCCCTCGATTGGGGGGGGAGGGGGGGGGGGGACAGACATCACCGACAACAAGCTAGACACCCGTGCTTTTCCTGAAGCGGGGTTGGGGGTGCCCACCCTGTCAAAACCAAAGCAGACCTTGGTGATTCTCAAGCTTATGGGAACTCGCAAATCTCTACTCCTGAGTTCGAGATACGGATCGGCTTACCCATGAAGCCACATCGCCATGTACGAATTCCATCCTGTGCAACAACCACTCAATTGGCTTGGAGTTTGATATCCTCCACTAACTTGCACTTCGACTGCATTAAGATTCCTACGTTGGAACCCCTCCTGGGTATGAACTAGATTCGCATTTCTCGTCACTTCTCCCCAATATCGAGATCCTTGCGCACCGGCGAAAAACAATGGTGAAGTGGCTCTGTTTGAGCCTAACTGAGTGTAGGAGTGAGACTCGTGAGAAAGAGGGGGGAAGTAGGGCAAGCGAAGCGTAACGGTGGTTCGTTTCTGATGAGAATGTTGGTCTGAGAAGGAGAGATTCAGAGGAAATTGGCTAGAGAGAGAAGTCTGAGTTTATTAGTGAGTCAATCCAACATCCGATCCTCCACCTATAGTAGTAAATGCCCCTTTTATAGTACATCATGGTAGTGGGTATTTAATGCGACATGACTACAACGTGTGTCAGGGTTTTTGGCCATGCTTCTAGACCCTAATTATTCCTAGGACCTGACTCTGACTTGACCTCTCCTTCGTAGACTGCGGCGCCCTCCATACAACCTTCGCTTCTTGTCTTAGGTAGGGCAGAACGACGCCGGCTTGATCAGGGCTGAAACGGCGCTGGTTTTGGGCTAGATAAAACGACGTCGGGCTGGGTTGCATCCGAGCCACATCCCCAACAATTGCCCCCCACCAGGTGGTGTTCCGTGAATGCCGCCTGTTAATTTCCGCGCGGGTGGCTCGGTTCTTCTCGCTTCTTCACGCTCCCTGGGTTATCTGTGTGCCTGTATACAACTTGTCTTGCGTGTTGGCTTGAGCTGCGCCTCTTTCTCTCCGCGCGTAGGCTGCTACACTCGCAAAGGTGTGCCATCAGACTTCGTTTCGCGCGCGGATCCCATCCCAGTCGTACGCATGCACGTTGCTGTACGCGTTTAACTCGCGCGGAGAGGTGCTCTTGTGTGTTGCGCGTGTTCCGCGAGCGATTCTTCCGTTGCTTGTACGCGTCGCGCTTCCTTATCTCTGTGCGCGGCACATCCGTAGACAGTTGGCGTGCGCGTTTCAAGAAGCCTTTGTTGCGCGCGTTCAACTCATGCCCCCCAGGCTATGTGCGTGACGCGAGTGACCCCTTTTATTTGACTGATTTTTCTTTCCCACGGGTGTACCCATGCCCCCCAGGCGGTGCGCGTCTCCTTGACGTCACCGCCTAGCCTCTACCTAGCTCTTAGCCCTAGTATCAGTAGGTGTCGACGTGGCCTGCTGTGATTCGCTCGTTTGGGCGGTTACTTTTTGAAATTTGAAATTCCGGATTGACGTTTCCGATTCTCGATGTAACTTTCACCCTTTCAGTTTCCTCTCCTGGGGTTATAAATACCCCTTTGTCTCGGAGAGACGTTTTTCATCTCTAACCTTTCTGTTTTTCCTTTCGTCGTACGTACTTGCCGACGAGATTTTCTTCTTCTCCGATCATCTTGCGTCTCTAAATCGTTCGTGATTCTCCCTTTTGAAGGCACAAATGGCCAATGCTGATGTAAATAACGAGGTCGTGGTTTTGGCTTATGAAGAAGGTAATTT